ATGCCAATTCCCATGGAACGTGGTCATTGCCCATGGAGCACACCTTGAGATTATTGGCCAAGATGGAGGCCTGAAGGAGCGAGGGGCAGGCTGAAGATGACAGTACCAACCCTGAATTTCATGATGGGAATTGTCTTCACCTATATTTTACTCCACAGTATGAAACAATAAGAAATTGCCTGTAAATTATGTGAGATTAAATACTAATGAGATGTAAATGAATTCATACAGGCCTTTCACTGCTCACTCACATTCAAACATTGGGTAGAAAATCAGACATTTTCGCTTGAGGAGGAGAACCTCATTTTTCTGATTTCACCACAACTTCCCAACTGGCTCATTATTGCTCATGTCATTAGGGGCTACAAAAATTCAGCCTCAATTGAAATTAAAAAAACACTTTCTTGTCCACCAATGTCAGTTAAGGAAGGAAATCTGCCATCCTTATTCTGGTATGGCCTACTTGTGATTCTAGAGAACAGAAATGTGGTTGGTTTGTAATTGCCCTCTGGACAATTAAAATGGGCAAAATTCACCTAGCCAGCAACACAGCCATACTGTAACTGAACTAATAAAAGGAGCAGAGGTGACATGGGAAAAACAAAGTTGTCTTTTTCAGCAACAAGTGTTTAGGATTTGAAATGTACTGCCTGATAGGGTGATAGATACAAACGCAATGGCAACCAGCAAGAGGGAATTGGGTAAATCATTGAAGCGGATAAAGATTTGAGGACCTGAGACTAGCTAGATTGTCATTCAAAAGACCTGGCACAGACTTGAGGTGTTGAATAGACAGCTACTCAGCTGTATCATGCTGTGATTCTATGATTTTGTGGGTTAGATTTTTTTTGAATGAGGTAGGGAGTTGGCAGATGTGTCTCCTTCAAAAGTTCCTGCCCTTCCATATTTTCATTCAGGGGAGTTAGGGGCAGGACAGACTAAGGTAGTAATAGAGGCTGACTTGCCTACTTTTGTTTATTGTAACAAAGGCTGGGTTCTTGTGATGGATATCAGACTGCCTGACACTGTCAACATCACATGTTCCTCCATACTCCCCATCTATCTTCTGCAGCTCCTCACATATTCGAACTCCTCAAGAACTACATAATAGCTGTGGGAAGAACTTGCAATGGGCATGAAAAATATTAAACTTCTAACAATCAAATTGAGCCGTTTCCAAACATACCATGCTGAAAATATTTCCTGAGCTACTGAAGGAAGAACCCTCAAGTAATTGACATTTTTTTAAATACAAGCGAATGTCTATTCAGTAACCACATAAAGGACAGCTAATCCTTTAACAACCCCTTAAAGCCATTCAAACAATCCTTTGCTGAGATTAGTGGTACAGATGCTTTTGAAATCCAGCCAAGGATTCACAACAGTCTCGTCTGTCAAAACAAGCCATTAGAACTCCAGATTACAATACTTAGTGAAATTGGAAATACAGATACTTCTGTTTTTTTCTCCCCCCAAGCTATACAAGATGGCCCATCAACAAAGCAGCCCAGGAGCTGGTGTCTTTATTTTAAGGAATTGAGACTGTCACAGCTCTGCCTGACTGTTGTGTATTCTGCATTGGCCAGTTACCAGGCTTCAGTCAGAACAAAGAACATACAAACGCCTAGCTTGCTGCCGTGCAACAGAGAGGATTTTATTCCAATACTGTGCACTCTGTAAAAACGCAAGAACAAGTCTGGCAAAGTCACTGATCATTGGCTGAATATTTACCAGTGTCACGTGACTCATGTCTTAAAGAGATACTGGCCCAACATAGCATACACCACTATATATATTACATAATACTGCGAACTACTTGTGGAAAAGGCTTGACACCCATAAAATTGTGGGTAAGGGGGATTAATTTAAACTTCCCCCTCATGCATTCAAGTCAGGATTGTGAAAGGGGAACACAAGTCCCAGAATCTATCTGCCATGTTAAAAGACCCCGTGACTACCCACCTTGAAGTGGACTGCCTCTGGTCCTGGATTAGTTGCCGAAAGTTGTTTTTATTTGTGTGCTTCTGAGACAGGATGAAACTTCTGAGACCTTAAAGAGATAACGGCCAATCAGAAGGCTCTTAAAGGCCAGCAGCATGACCACTGCTGTTCCCAGGATCAGCGAACAGTGTGTAAGCCCTGATTGGAAATAACTGGGGTCAGAACTCACTGGGACCAATCAGGCAGGCCTCAGCATAGGCTACTGGTGGGTTGGGAACAAGGGCAGGAGGCTCTTCCAGCAAGCATGGCATTTGTCACTGGGGATGGGTGTCGAGTGGGCACATCAATGAGAGCAGAGTACTGCATATCCCACCTCAAAGCCAAAGGAAGGCTCCCAGGTTTAACTAGCAAGCTTATCAAGGGTTAAGGTGCCAACTCACCCACTAGTGAAATACCGGCCTCAGTAGAAAGAAACTCTTAAACCAGCTCTTAATTGTTGGTTTGCTTGCATGAATTTACCAGTCTCACGCGAGGATTGGTAATCGGGATGGAAGTTCTATGAGTTGAAGCTACATTACAGGGTTATTCACTGAACAGATTTCTGAAAGAAGTTCAACAGCTAGCAACTGTCAACATCCCCAATGTTATCATTGACCAGAAACTCAACTGGATTCACCACATAAACACCGAGTCTACAAGAGCAGGTCAGAGGCTCGGAATACTACAGTGAGTAACACACCTCCTGACTCCCCAAAGCCTGTCCACCATCTACAAGGCACAAGTCAGGTGTGTGATAGAATACTCCACATTTGTCTGAATGAGTGCAGCTCCAAAAACACTCAAGAAGCTTGACACTATCCAGGACAAAGCAGCCCGCTTGACTGGCACTACATCCACAAGCATCCACTCCCTCCACCACCGACACTCAGTAGCAGCAGCGTGTATTATCGACAAGATACACTGCAGGAATCCACCAAAGATCCTCAGGCATCACTTTCCAAACCCATGACCATTTCTATCTAGAAGGACAATGGCAGCAGATATATGGGAACACCACCACCTTCAGGTTCCCCTCCAGGCCACTCACCATCCTGACATGGAAATATATCGCCATTCCTTCTCTGTTGTTGGGTCAAAATCCTGGAATTCCCTTGCTAATGGCATTGTGGGTAAATCCACAGCAGGTGGACTGCAGCGGTTCAAGAAGGCAGCTCTCCACCACCTTCTCAAGGGACAACTAGGGACGAGCAATAAATGCTGGCCAGCCAGCGACACCCACATCCCATAAATAAATAAAAAGTAATTACTACTATGTGCTGCAAGGACTGGGCATTAGCTGCTGGCCACTGGTTGTATATTTTGGTTACTTGCTCACAAGGGTGCTCTCTTTTAAAGTGTTATCCCATTAACTGACTATTGGAAGGCCTCAACTGGCCTAAGGCCCATCATCAACTTTCCCTGGGAAGGCAACAGTTAAAGCATCCCCTGATATCTCAGGGGATCTCCCAACTCAAGCTCCTTCACACCAGCCCCTCCAACCCCTCCATCTCCCTACCAATCTCCACCTCACAGCCCATTCCCAGGGATCATAAATCTCCAGCCCAATTCTGAAATCCTGATTGCACTCCAGATGATGTGCTAGCACTAGTCGTAGTTTCCATACTGCATTTGAGTTCATCCAATATCTAAGTAATTACTTATCCAGAGTTCTTCCAGTTTCTCTCCGGTTTTATATTCACCATGGGGGGAGTTACAGAGAAATCCTTTATTTGACTGATTAACACTTAGGGGCTGTTGCCGTTGCAAGGTGTCAGATAATATCATTGCACTTCACAATTAGTGAGAGGACTCCTTACAGTGCAACAAGGATCAATGCAATAACCTTTTCTTGCATATTAAAAAAAAATTACCCTCACTGTGAGAGTACTAGGTGTGGTTATATCAGATAATGGGGCCTCTTTATCCATTCCTCAAGTAGCTGCGACTCTAAGAGACAAAAAGTTGGCCGATCTGGGCTACTCAACTCAGTCACCAACTTCCGGTGTGCTGTGACTGCTTCAGGGCAATGCCACTAACCGCACCTCTTAATAGCATAGCTCACTCACAATGACATCTAAAGGGCGTGTTTGAAAGACGGTAGCGTACAGTTTACATCCCAAAATGATTCTAACGCTCCGTTTGAACTCTCTTCCCATTTGGTTTGTGTGTGACAGTATTTCAGGTGGCTTAAGAGAAAATATGAAGGAATCTTGCCACGGGCTTCCAGTCAAACAGCAAATTTATTTTCCACTTCTGCAAGTAAAGCAGCTAACCACATCAAAACCACACTCTGATATTTCTGCCATATTTCCTGAAGTAGCAACAAATCTGAAGAGTAGCTGGGATAAGAGATTAACACTCTATGTTATTACAGATATGTTTTTTGACACAGTATCACTGTCATAATAGATGTCTTGGCGTCTCTCGCGCCACATTTGAACAGTACATTGGAAATCTGGGATCTTCTAGGTTTGTCAGAGGATTTTTGAGGAAGCTAAATCTGGATTTGTGTGCTGCTTTCGCCTGACAAGCAAGTTCCTCAACAACACTGTGAAAACAGACGCCATCAATTTGTCTTACATCTGACTTCCTCTATTGTGTATCCGTGTCTGTCCGAAGCACACACAGGCTCGTGTTCTCAGCTGCCTCTCGACCCAAGCGCATCAAGTGTGTTGCTGGACAGAAATGGTCTCAGCAAAACGTCTAGACAGACTAGTCAGGTGAGATTGACCGCACGCGGGGAAATTTCTTTCAAACGTAATTAATTGCAATCTGTAACAACTGTTGTGCAGGGGAGAAACGGTAAAGTAGCTTCCCTTTTTCTTGCACTTGCTGAATTTTGCCTAAGATTTGTACCGACTCATGTCAATGCTTAGTCTGTTCGAGCAGCACCACTTTTGAAACAAACTACCCACATCCTGTTGATGGAGAGACTCGCAAAAATGTGGCAGATTCAGACAATTTTGAGCACACTTTATAGCACTTCGTTAACGGAAGAATGAAAGTTGTTTTTCCCTTACCCACTCCATATCTCTCCTTAACTGTCCGGCTCCAGGAAGGCATGGTTCAATTAGCACTGTAGATCGTCCCTACGATGCAGCTAATGGCCAACAGGGCTAAGGTCTTGCAAAGCTACGTCTGAAGTGCTTTCACATTACTGCATCCGGAAATCTGCATTTATGAGCCAGCACTGACGTCTTAACCACAAAGGCGGTAAAGGTGCAAGCGATGGCGCGTGAGGGATGATTTAAACGGGGCATGGTTAAGGTAGAGGTCACATAAATGGAGGGAAAAAGGCAGACCCTATTTCAAGCCTTAGCAGGCCCATTGAACTACACTGACATGTTGTTAAAAAAGAAGCACTACCCCAAATCATTTTCTCTGATAAGACTGGCACGCACTTGCTAAGTGGAAATGAGCTGTTCTTTCTATTGCTCTGCCCAGTTGGAACAAATGTTTCGAGTTTATGCAGCTCACTGTTGAAAGCTTGCTGGGAAGGGTCCTTCTGCCTACTGCTGAATTTCTGAGAACGGTTCGGGGTAGCAGCCCACCAGGAGTAGGGACCTCTTCACCCTTGTCCGAATAAAGTCACTTGGGTGGCATGGTGGCTCAGTAGTTAGAGCTGTGGCCTCACAGCAACCGGGGGCCTGGATTCAATTCCACCCAAACGTGACTGTCTGTGTGGAGTTTGCACGTTCTCCCTGTGCTTGCATGCGTTTCCTCTGGGTGCTCCGGTTTCCTCCCTCAGTCCAAAGATGTGCAGGTTAGGGTGGATTGGCCATGCCAAATTGCCCATAGTGTCCCGGGATATACAGGCCAGGTGGGTTAACTATGGTAAATGCACGGATAGGGTGGGTCTGAGTGGCAAGCTCTTCGGAGAGTTGGTATGGACTCGATGGGCTGAATGGCCTGCTTCCACACAGTAGAGATTTTATGATTTCTCAGTGGAATTTCCCCTACACATCTTAAATTTTGGACACAGGTCACATGGACACCTTTGAAGAATGACATACTTGTTGGCTTGTCCTCTTTACTCAGACTACTGTGTGAATGCTGGGGCTGATAGCAAGCTGCCTCTGAAGATGTAATTCCAGGCAATCAGTAAATTCGACCTCATTGATTAAAGCCTGATCAAGCTAAAGGTTTTGTTCACACACCATATTTTGTTTTAGAGAGAAAAACTAATTGGTGCCCTTTAATTCTGGGGTCTTCTGTCTTTGCCCCTCTCCATCAAATCTAATCCATCTCTGTCTGATCAAACCTCAACCTATGACAGCCTAAGCTCCCTATTGGTGGTGATGGTGATTGATTACAAATGATTCCACTGTTAATTTTGGCTCATTGGGAGGACTCCCATGTCAGCAGCAAACATTTGTGGTTTGAGCCCCACTTCAGAGACTCAAATGCGGTATTAAGTGACAACTGAAGAAACATAGAGTCAGAGAGTTGTACAGCTCAGGAACAGACCCTTCGGTCCAACTCGGTCATGCTGACCAGACATCACAAATTAATCTAGTCCCATTTACCAGCACTTGGCCCATATCCCTCTAAACCCTTCCTATTCATATATCCATCCAGATGCCTTTTAAATGTTGTAATTGTACCAGCCTCCACCATTTCTTCTGGCTGCTTGTTCCACACATGCACCACCTTCTGCGTGAAAAAGCTACCCCTTAGGTCACTTTTAAATCTTCTCTTCTCACCTTAAACCTATGCCCTTGAGTTTTGGACTCTCCTACCTTGGAGAAAAGATCTTGGCTATTCACCCTATCCACGCTCCTCATGATTTCTCACTGTTGTTAAGAAACTAGGGCCAGGCCTTTTGTCACTGTTTCTTTTAAAAAAAGGCAAACAGCATAAGAAATTAGAGCAGAGGTCACCTGTTAGTCTATAAGATTATGACAGATCTCCCCGAATCCTCAAATCCTTTCTCAATCCCTTTCCTCATAACCCTCGACTCACTGCTATTTTAAAAATCTATCCCTTCTTCAACTCCTTTCCATGATCTACCTTCCACAATTCTCTCAGGCAGTGAATTCCAGACATTCATTACCCTCTGAGAGAAAAAATTATGTGTGTCATAGTTTTAAACAAGGGTCCTCCTATTCTGTAGCTATGTTCCTTCATTAAAAATGCCCCCACTAGTGGAAACATCTTCTCTAGATCTACCCTATGAAGCTTTCTCAGTATTTTGTACATTTCAATTAGATCACCCCTTCATTCTTCTGAACTCTAATAAATAAAGGCCTGACCTGTTTAGTTGTTCTTAATAAGACAATCCCTTTATCCCAGAAATAAGTTGAGTGGATCTCTTTTGAAGAGCTACCAATGCTGGTTTACACTTTCTTAAATACAAGGACCAAAACTGTACACATTGACAAGTTGGGCAGACAACTGGCAGACGATTTTTTTGTTGTGGGCAAATGAGAGGTAATGCATTTTGAAAGAAGAAATATGGAGAGACAATACAGGCTCAACTTTAAGGGGAGTACAGGAGCAGAGGGACCTCAGGGTTCACATGCATAATTCTGTGACAGAGACCGGGCCAGTTGAAATAATTATTAAGAAGGCTTATAGGATCAGTATGTTTATAAATAGAGGCATAGAGTATAAAAGGAAGGAAGTGATGTTACACCTCTGCAAAATCATTTATCAGACCACATTTGGTGAACCGTGTTCAATTCCGGGCATCTTATTTAAGGAATGATGTTAAAGCCCTGGAGAGATTTCAAAGGCGATTTACTAAAATGGTACCAGGAATTAGGGATTTTAGATATTAGGAAAGATTGGATAAATCAGGCTTATTTCCCTTGAAGCAGAAAAGAATAAGAGGTGTCCTCATTGAGATGTGCAAAATTATGAACAATTTTATAATATAGAACATAGAAGAGTACAGCACAGGAACGGGCCCTTCACCCCACGATGCTGTACCCATCATGATGCCATTATAAACTAATTCCATCTGCCTGCACATGGTTCCTCTATTCTCTGCCTCTTCATGTGTCTGTCTGATACCTATTAAAAGATGCCATCGTCTGCTTCTACCACCTCCTCTGGCAGCACGTTCCGGGAACCTTCCACACTCTACGTAAAAAATATTTCTCACACATCTCCTTTAAACTTTTCCCCTCTCACTTAAACTTGTGACAGGGTAAAGAAAGATATTCTATTTCAACTCATTGCTATGTCAGTAACTAGGGGTCCCAATTTCAAGATTCTCAGCAAGAGAGCTGGGAGTGAGATGCACTGCCTGAGAGAATGGTGGAGATGGATTCCAGAGGAGGTTTCAAAAGAGAGCTGGATATATATTCGAAAGGGATAAAGTTAAAGGGTGACACAGAAAGGGCTGGTGAGTGGGACTGGCTGGGTGGCTCTGTTGAGAGTCAGTATAGACACAATGTGTTGAATGGCCTCCCTCTGTACTGTAAATTCCATGATTCTATACTCGAGGTGCAGCCTCATCAACACACTGTACAGTTATAACAAGACTTCTCTATTGTCTAAGCTCCAAACCTATAGCAATAAGGGTCAATATTTCATTTGCTTCTTAAATTATTAACTTTTGGTTTTTCTTCAGGCATGGCACTAGTCACACCTAAAACTTGGGTATCTACCTGGTGAAACACAACAGGGCCACTTGCAATAGCAAGCAGCAGAAGTAGGAAGTTATCGACTGAACTAAGTTATCCAACAGCCAATGAACCAAATCTAAGCTTTACAGTACTGCCTTGTCCAACCATGAATGGTGATGGACAATTAAACAGGCTACAGGAGTTGGAGGCTCTACAGATATCCTTATCCTCACTGATGGGGAAGCCCAGCACATCAGTGCAAACGACTAAAATACACAGAACTGCAGAATTGTTACAATGCAAACAGAGGTCATTCAGTCCATCAAACCTGCACCAGATGATGCTGAAGCATTTGCAACAACCTTCAGCTGGAACTGCTAAGTGAATTATCCATCTCAACTACCTCCTGAGATCGCCAGCGTCACAGTTACCGGTCCTTCAACCAACTTGATTCATGTCACATATGATGAGAAATGGCTAAATGCTCTTGGCCCTGACTACAGAACGTAGAACATAGAACATAGAACAGTATAGCACAGGATCAGGCCCTTCAAACCCATGATGCTGTACCGAACATGATGCCAAATGAAACTAATCCCTTCTGCCTGTCCGTGGTCCATATTGTTCCATTCCTTGCATATTCATGTGCTTATCTGAAAGTCCCTTAAAAGCCCTTATTGTATCTACTTCCACCACCACCGTGGCATTGCATTCCAGACTCCTACCACACTCTGTAAAAAACTTACCCCTCACATCTCCTTTGAACTTTCCCCCTCTCACCTTAAATGCATGCCCCCCTAGTTTTAGACATTTTAACTCTGGGAAAAAGATTCTGACCATCAACCCTATCTATGCATCTCATCATTTTATAGACTTCTATCAAGTCTCCCCTCAGCCTCTGCCATTCCAGAGAAAACAATCCAAGTTTTTCTAGCCTCTCCTTATAGCTCATACCCTCTAATCCAGGCAACACCCTGGTAAACCTTTTCTGCACCCTCTCCAAAGCCTCCACATCCTTCATATAATGCGTCAACCAGAAATCTACACAATACTCTAAGTGTGGCCTTCCCAAAATCTAATAAAACTGCAACATAACATCCTGACTCTTGTACTCAATTCCTTGTCCAATAAAGGCAAGCATGCCATATGTCTTCTTTACCACCTTATCTACTTGTGTGGCCACTTTCAGGGGGCTAAGGACTTGAACCCCAAGATCCTTCTGTACATCTATGCTGTTCAGAGTCCTGCCATTAACTGTATACTTTTCCTTAACATTTGATCTCCTAAAATGTAGCAGTCTACACTTGCCCAGATTAAACTCCATCTGCCATTTCCCCGCCCATTTGTACAACCAATCCATACCTTACTATGTGCTTTGACAACCTTCTACGCTATCCACAACTTCACCTATCTTTGTATCATCTGCAAACTTACTAACTCACCCATCTACATTTTCCTCCAAGTCATTTATGTATATTTTATTTTCTTTATTTATTTACTGGATGAGGGCCTTGCTGGCTAGGCAGCATTTATTGTCCATCCCTAATTGCCCAAAG